GGGGACTATATATAATATATAGTTATGAAGTACATAGAGTAGAGAGACAGATAGAAGAAAAAGAGAGCTTCTTTATTTTGGTTACTTAACGGACATGCATTCATTAGTTTTAGTTTCACATATATATAGCTAGCTTTTTATATTGTTTTTTTTTACATTAAAAATCGATTAAATATGAATTTATATATTATATGGTTTATTTTTGAATACGACACTTACAATATAATTTTTTTTTCTAGATATTTAAATTCAAAATCTCCGATTAAGAACCGAAGAATCGTAACGTTTCTACCATAATTAATATTGGTTGGCTTTTTGTATAACGTGACGTGAGCAACGGACTTTGTCTTTTTTTGTGACTCAGATGATTTGCAGTTTCCTCTTTACTTTTATTATGCCAAATATTCCATGATTATGATTTTGACACACAAAATTAAAGGTGTGTTTGTATTTTAAAAATATCAAATTGGGAAAAAGCATAAAAAGCGTTTACAAAATCATTTTAATGTTTTACTTCTACCTTCGTTTCATTTTGTGGCTATATTGACAAGTTTTTCAATACGAAAGTTCTACTATCCTAATAATCGACACAACTAATGTATTATAATCTATCCATAATATCTAGTTACTCGATAAGGAAACTATTTATTAGGGGTTTATTGAAATATAAGTTTGACTATTATTTACTTATATATATAGTTAATAATAAAAGTAACAATAATATACTAGTAATTAGCTGCTTTATAGTATTGTTAAACATTAATGTGACATTCCTTTTCCATTTTAAATTCATAAAAATCTCCCCTTATGTTTTCAATTAAGAATATTTTTGCTTATCCCATAAGTGACATAAGAAATGAAAAGTTTGATATTCCATGAAGAGCAGAGGGGTATATTAATAAGTAAAGTTAACTGTGTTAAAAGGTATTCACTGTTTTCAATTAACCTTTGAATCTTTTTACACAAGTGTAGTCAACTTCAACAATAATTTAATTTGAATATGAGGTTGTATTTGGTGTAAATAGTCTGATTAATATTAGAACATTTCTTTTTTGGCCTCCACCATATATAAGATTAAAGAAAAAGAAATGTAAATATAGTCAAGAAGAATGACACTAATCTGATCTGACTAGTTTCTCTTTCCTTGCAAGAAGGTTATTGAGCTACGAAATCCTGTGTACGCCATTGTATCCTTAGTTTGGGAATTACAGTTAAAACAAGATTCAGATACTAGTAATTTTTTTATAGGCCACAGTCAACTCTTAAGAAATCCAATACTATAAAACTGAAATTGTAAATATAAATACTACAATATATACCAAGTTTAAAAGTCACACTAACTTCAAGATTTGAAAAGCATACACAAATTTTAAGATTTGGACCTTTTTGACTGTGATTTTGGTTCCACATATGTAAGTCACTTTCTAACTAAAAAGTCACATTTTGCAGAATATCTACACGAACACTTGAGCATAACTTGCTTTACGCTCCATTTACATCTTCCCCTTTTGCTTTCCAAACTTTACATCATTACTCCTACCCAAATTGAGAAAAACAAAAGTTTACTGCACCACTAAAACACATCTTCATGGCCCCTGTGCCTCTCATCTTGTTTTCCCTCGCTAAGTACAATCACTCACCTTGTGTTCGCGCACTGGATATGGAAAAAATCATCAAACTGGAAATCCCAAACTTCCTTTTGGAGTCTCATTGCCAGACATGCTATGAGGCTGGACTGCAAATGACTTCTAAGATTAGACGAAAACAAGTAACAGTGAATCACTACTATGTCGAGACAAAGCAAGAATATGCAAATGCTACTTTTCAAATTGCAATACAAAAGATGGATATTCTAAATAAGTAACAAGTGCACCTTAGCCAATATACTAAAAATCATATAAAATTTTATAAAAGACGAGTCTCTTTACACAGTAATGGGATAACTTACAGAAATTTACACTTATAAATTAATGTTACAGACTACTGCAAAAAAAGGTTTTGCAGTTTAAATAAGAAGTCAATGGACAACCCTTAGAGCTGTCACAAGAGGCAAAACACAAGAAAACAATGGCTCTCACTTTATTAAAGTATGACTCACCAAAGGCTCAAGAATGAACGCTAATATCCATATTCATGTCGTCTTGCTTCTCAGTCATATATGACTCATTTGTCCCCCCCGCGTGATTGGACTCATTGTTAAAGTTGTAAGTAGCAGAACCCCGTCGGTTATTGAGACGGTCTTTACTATTTCTAGAAGCAAAGGTGGTATTTGCATCGTAACCAAGAATATGCTGACTTCCTCTATCATAAGCTCCTACATCTTTATCCAAGCCACCTGTGTCACCACAGCTCTTCCTTCTGCAAAATTTTGGTGATTTTGCACGGGTTGGTGGTGGCTGCAGGACAAAGAAAAGTAAATTAAAACTATAAGATGGTTAAGTTGATAAACAGAAGGGGATGTCAAAAGATCAGTAACCTAATGTGAACTTTCTTCAACATGCTCTAAGGTTACAAAAGCGAAAAAAATGTCACAATAATACTGCAGATTAAAGTTATGGTAAACCTCAACTAGAAGTTGATGATACTGTAAGTTATTGGTGATGAGAATCCCGTACCTTTTTCAGTTCAGCCTTAGGTGGAGGCCCTTCATGGTAGAAACTCGGCATTGGGTTTGCCTTAAACAACAAATTCCTTCTCATTTGCTTCATAGCTGCTTCTCTCTCTTCCTAAGTTAGGAAGGTAGAACGAAATCAAAAAATATATTGATTGATAACACATTCATTAATTCAGTTTTTGTAGGATAACTTTGATTGATCTGTATTCCACTATTACATCCAGGATCAGGTGACAGCAACATAAGGCGGTGCGTACCTTTGTCCTTTCCTCACATTGAATTTTCTCAGCCTCCAAAGCTTGATGCTTCTCCTCTAACTTTGAGTAAAACTGCAAGAAGGGGAAAAACAGAAAGCAAGACAGAATTGGTCAAGCTTTAGATTTTTCATTTCAAGGAGAACTTGAAGTTCCTTTTCTATTGTTATGTTGTTTTGATCATTTAGACGGAACAAGTAGGGGTAAACAATGACGTGAAGAATTAGAACTAGCAGTTTCAATAGTCCTAAGCAAAAGTGCAAATCGACAGCTACCTCCTTCCTTCTTGCTGCACGTTCAGAGGACCGAAATACTGGGGCTGCCGCTACAGTGACCCTGGATTTTCTTGCTGAGATCACATCACTTCTCATTGTTGAGGAAATCATCAAATGGCAAAGCAGAATTCAATAAGGACACACATCAGAGAAAGTGAAGACTTTGTAAAGTTAGATCAAAGGAGAAAGATCATACCAAGAGGCAATTGACGAGTCTTCCTCATCAGAATATTTCTTATTATCAGATTGCAGTGGCTTCTTAAGTGCAACTGATGAAGAAACCTGAAAGAGAATATCATAGCCACAGATGAACATGCTGTATGATCTATAGACCCTAACTCCAATATTATGCATTGACTTCTCAGTGAAAAGTGAGTTTTCTCATTCACCAAAAGCGGAAGTAAAATAAAACATGAGGACTTTGTCATTTTTGCAAGATCAAGTGCTTCGGATTCATCCTTTAATGACATAACCCAGTAGACAGTGGTCAAAACGCACATAAAGCATAGGGGAATAACCTGGTTTTGTACAGATCTCGGGGCTTGCAAATTATTTGTTTCAGATGGCTTATGTGCAGCACTCACGTCACCTGCATCATTCCTAACAGGACGTGTTCCATGAGAAGTGCGCCTCTCAGTTGCCAGAGCAAATGGCAGGGGAACAGTGCACTTTGTTTTACAGCTTCCAGCAACAGATTTGGTTATTGATTTCACGGAAGATCTTGATCTCCCGTTATCATCTTTTACCTTTGAGCTTGGTCGATCTTGTTCCTGTCTGCTATCAACTGACATTTCAGCTGTGCAGTCCTTCGCTTCATGCTCTTCTGTTTCAACATTCTCATTCAGCATATCAGTTCTCTGCTCCCCAATGGCATGCTCAGATGACTGCAACACATCTTGATTACCATCTCTCATGTAACTTGAATCCGGAGAAACACCTTGCTCCTTTTCCATACAGGTATCTGTAACTTCTAACCCCATCAACCTCTGAAAAAACATCAATAAAATAAGAAAGCATTATTTACAACTAAGGGTTTAATCATGCTAGAATATCTTTTGAGTCCATCATCAGAATTGGTAAAGTAAATTGATTTATTTGTTTTCCTAGAAAAATTGCCAGTCCGTTGTGTTAATGACTCTGCACAAAAAACTACATAAATTTCTTTATCAAAACAGGTTTGAATGGTCCCATTGGAGTTGGTGAAGCAAGAAATATTTGAAGTTCTAGTATCAAAAGGACTCCTGCTTTAGAAATAGGACCTCTCAATACTAATCAAATAGTTATTTATCAAAATAATAATTGAATATTTCCTCTTTTCTGCATACTCAATTATATATTGCTATCAAGGTTTCTATTTATTATTTAAACAACATATGCATACTGAATAAGCAAGTGCATGGAAACTTGGACTTATACTTGTAAAAAATAATAATTAGGCAAAATCTGGCAACAGTCAACTGTGAATTTTGCAGTTAGAGGAACATTTATCCTCGCTTTGACGAACTAAATTGTGCATAAAATGAACTTAAAGCTACCCATCTCCAGAAGCATGTTACGCTTCTCAGTGAAGTAGCAAAAAGGGCTAAGATTAACTCTTAGGTACAAGGAATCAGCATGCTGACGTGCCAAATGTACATTGTCAAACAAGGTGGAAAAATCATATTGTTCCAAGAAAACAAATGCTCTATATAATTTCTGTGATAATTACTGATTGAAGCCTTTTGATATCCATTAAAAACCTTGATTGTTACACAAAGAAATCTCATGAAAGTAAACCAAATTTCCCTAAGATCCAGGTTTTATCTTATTCCACAAAAACATTTGCTTTCAGTATAACATGACCCTCGCTCCAGCATAAGTTACTGAGTAGCTTTCTCCAGCATCTGGTAATTGCTACTGTGTTTTTTTTTAAAATTAGATCATTTCAATCACACGTTTCTAACAAAAGTAGCAATGGAGAAGCCTTGTAATACTAAAATAATGATGGATACTGCAGTTAAAGATCAATGGTTTGGCGTCCTAATACTAAATAAGATGAAGAAAGAGCCAGAACCTTTTGCTTCTCAATAATTAATGAAACAAGGAGAACATATATACTATATAGCTTCAGAAGGGAAAGTAGACTCCACAACGCCCTCCACGCATTGGTGAGTCCAAAACTATAAGCAGAAACTATATTATTTATACATCATATACAGATGCATATAAAAAGGCATCCCGGTCCACAAACCATCCCCCGTTCACACAGGGTCCAGAAAGGGCCAGACCCCAGTGGGGTGTCATACAGAAACCTAAATCTACAGGTAAACACATATGAATAAAGATAGTATAAAGGGGGTCTATATAAATGACAATCACAGAACAGATATTTTGCAAACTTCATGATGCATTACATAGAAAATGATTCAATGAGCACCTAACTGAAAAATGAAAAGGTACAGCAGTGATACAACTATGTCTTACTTTTGAATATCATCACTTCAAAACATAAATTTACAAAAAAATGGACAAATAGTGAAAAGTGAGCAAAAGATCCATGTTACGGAACCAAGACAACCTATATCCTGGAACACAATATAAAGAATCTCCCTCTCCCTGTAGGTCGCGCTGAATGCAAGTTTTTATACAGAAAATCAGAATCAGACATCTTCATATCCTTTTAGAACCCAATTTTAAGAATTTTCAACAACCCCCCTCCCCCATTTATTTCATATTTTTACCTCTATCTCAAACTCTAAAATTTGACTCTCATGTTTACATTCTAATCAACCAAAATATCAACCATCAGCAATCAAACTCAAAACGCATTTCAAAATGCAACATCCATATATTTCAATAGATTATCACACCCACCAAATTACAACTCAAATCCTTAAACAAAGATTGAAAAAATTAACGAAGAATATGTAAGTAAAGCTGAAAATGTAATAGATTTCTTATATAGATCTGCAGAATGTACATAACATCATAACCAAAATCGAATAATACAAATAGATCATAGTCTCACAAAATTTTAAAAATTTCACAAAAAACAATATCAATACAAAGATTTTTGAGAAATCTCACCTTTTGAAAAGATCGATTTGTTTGCTGCTTCTTCTTACCCAGAAAATATATGCAGTTTTTTTTATTACAATACAAATGGACAGAAGAAAATATTTATTTATATAGCAGAAAGGAGGAGGTAAAAGAAAGAACAAGAAAAAAAAGGAGCTTTTTATACTATTTTTATTTATGGATTCAAACAAAAAAAGGAAAATGAGGATAACAAATTTTATTTTTAGAAAAAAAGAATAGCTAAAAAAATGAGTAGGGAAGACCAATTATTGATGATTTGTATCACTTGATTGAAGAAGACAAAAGTAATTTAAAGTATTATTATTATAATAAAACCAATTAAGGAGATTAAATTGTCAAATCACCTTTCAATATCCACAGAAAATTTGTGTTTTTAATCCCTCAAATATTGAAAATTTTGATTTTCATCATTTTAAATTTTTTATTTAACATATTTAATCTTCTATTAATTACCATTTACCATAGAGTACAGACAATTAATTAGACACTTCTAAACCTATTTGTCATAGATATTTAATTATTGATGTGTTATGCTAATTTGAATTGTTATTTTATATTTACGAATGATATAATTTTGAAACTAATCTAAATATAATATGTTTTAATAGAAACCAAAAATACATATTATAATTAAAATCAAAGTAAAATATATTTGAATAATGCATGTACTTGTAATGCTTTCTTTATTTGTTGAAATATATACATATTTAGCAAGGATATTGTATGTATCCGCATTGTGGTCAGAGGCAATATGTTAGTGTGGCATTTTAATAATTTAAGAATTCACATTTTTTGCATGGCCACATAGATGTTGGTTTATGGCCGTTGGTGCACTTCTCATATATATTACATAATGATGGATGAATTGCAGTTGATTGTTGCCGTTGAAAATAATTATTGCTGCATTACTCCAAATGGAGTTGGTGTATATGTTACAATTTTCTAGGTGATGCAGCAACTCCCAAGCCGTTGGTGGCTTAAGTGTCCCTTTATTTTCATTCTTTATTCCTCAATTATACCTTATAACATATGTAACTCTTAAGGCTATTATCTTCACTATTTAGTATTTTCCAATTTATTCCTAGGAAGACTTCTTCTACTATAAGTAGTGGTGGTCTTCATTTGTTTTACATATAAGAAAATATAGAGTGCATAAAGTTTGTTAAAAAAAAGAGTTCTTATTAGTTGAAGGGATGTGTTCTTTTTGTGGAGCTTTGGACTGATCAACTCTTATTTAGAGTTGTTGAATTATATTTTGTGATTAGGCTGTTGTATCCTGGAGGGGACAAGAAGGACTACTGCTGAACTGGTGAAAACAGTTGCTGCAGTGGACTTGAATCTCCTTAAAGAGAGCGAGATATCCGCGCCTCAGCCTGAAGAGATTTATTTCTTCATTTTTATTTTCAATTGTAATCTTGTATTTTTGTTATCTTCTTTTTGTGGAGCTTTGGACTGATCAACTCTTATTTAGAGTTGTTGAATTATATTTTGTGATTAGGCTGTTGTATCCTGGAGGGGACAAGAAGGACTACTGCTGAACTGGTGAAAACAGTTGCTGCAGTGGACTTGAATCTCCTTAAAGAGAGCGAGATATCCGCGCCTCAACTTGAAGAGATTTATTTCTTCATTTTATTTTCAATTGTAATCTTATAATTTTGTTATCTTGTAATTTTTCACTAACACAATATAATTATTATGAAGGTTCGATTAAATTATCTTTATCAAGATATCATATTACTTAAATAAAATTATTGTCATTTAGACGACTTAGTTGATTTGGAGGGTGGTCTTCCATATAGATGATCCGAGATCGATTTTCTTCAATAATTTTCAAGTCGAATCGGTTGCATAGAGTTGTCTAGTGTGATTTAACTTGATAGATTTTCATTAAGAAAAAATGAATAATATTAACATAATCTTCCCAAACCCAAGTTGATTACAGCTAAAATTCCTTAAACTTGACTCTTTAACCATAAATGGTTAGAAGGTCGAAGAAATCATTGCTTTAATTTGTTTCCAATCTTTGATTACTATTTGCTAACCCTTTTGATAAAGTCTCACAACCTCTTGCTAATTTTAATTTTTCAACCCTACTCTTTTCATTTTATTCTAATTACTCTTTTAATTCTTTTTAAAAATATATATATTTAAGAGGGAGTTCCACTAACAATTATCTCATAAGAAATGTCTGTGGACCATTAATTATACCAATATTTAACCAAAGTTCTTTAGTCTGGTTAGAACCTTATTATATTAAGTATAAAAAAAATGTATATAGTTTTTAATCTTGGAGTGTTATGAAACTAATAATTGTGAATGCCCACGGTTTAAGAAATAGTCATATCTTCGTAATTTTTCTCCTTAATCTTCTTCCCTCGTAAATTTTATGGTTTCATGTTTATACTATTCTTTTACATATTTTTATGTACACTACAAGAGTTCATACCATACACACCTGAGAAATACTTGAAGAATTGAAAAATACTTAGAAGAAATAAGAAAGATCTGCCCTCTTGTTTCTCTTTATTATTCTTATTTTCATCTTTTAATATATTATACTAATTTTTACATTAATTTAACAACACGTTATCTATACGAGTCTCTTATCATTTTCTATAAATGCACGAATTCTCAAAAAATATTGATGTGTGAATTGCAAGGCAATCTCCTAAAGAGACTGAGAGTGTGTTTGGTATGGAGGAAGATATTTTCTAAAAAAAAATTTCAATTTCATCATGTTTAGTTGATCAAAATATTTTGAAAATTATTTCTCTCGAAAGATAAGCTGCTTAAAAATGAAGAAAGTGACTTCTCTAATGAAAGTAGGAAAAACAAATTTCATAAGTGACATTTCAAGTTCATTGTCCACTCCCATACCCATCCAACATCTCTAGTCCCCACCCCTCGACCATTACATCCCCATCACCCTTGAACCTCCACCTCCTATCTCATATCCTCACATAGTATTTTGCTAGATTACATATAAATATTTTTCAGAAAGTATATATTTTTCTTACTTATCAAATATTTAAAAATAAGTAAAAAATCAACTTATTTTTTCTAAATCACATAATAACACGTCAATTATGGATTTCATTCTTCCTGGTACAGAGAATAGTAGAATTGAGTGGATCATAGTAGGATAATCAGGTTCATCTATAAGCTAAGAACAAGTATATACAATGAGTTAGTAATATATGGTTAGCTGAAATGCTGAATTACCAGGTGTAGCTAATGAAAGAATCCCTTAGCAAAGAAAAAGGATCCTCTAAGCTAAGCGAGCAAAGAAATTTTCTTAATTTTTCGACAAAAGAGTGTCGCTTGACGCACTTAGGCCCTAGGTGGCAGTAGTTCCTTAAGATCACTAGTTGGTACTAATTTTATTTCAAACACAATAAACTAAACGTGCTTTAATCATATTAAACTATAGTAATAGCTTAAAACCTTTTTAAAAATATTTCTACTTTGAAAACAAATCAAGCTATGAAAATATTGTAGACAAAATTTGTTTAACATATTTTCAACCGTAATTATAACAAATCTATAAAAATATTTTCAGTTTTAGTGATCACATATTTCTTATAAATTATCATTCTTACCCATCAATAAATATGAAACTTAAAATATCAATATCTATTTTCACAACATTGTTTCTTCTGAAACAAATATGAACCATGAACGGTCAAATGAATCAATTAAGTCATTGCTCAAATTAATAAACAAAATCTATACACTTGTTAGCACACAAAAATATCAAGGAATAATTACATTTTTTTCATCATGAAATCATGTTCACTTCAAGTAATTAGCTCTAATTTTTTCTCCAACTAAATAAAATAGACATTCACCACTTATCACAAATAAAATACAAATATGTTTATATCATGAATTTTTTTTTATTTTTTTAAAAGGCTTTCTCGCAACAAAATGTGACTCAAATAATAAGGCGCGGGGAGTTTCAATTTTGTCAAAGCTTCCATAGCACGAAGCCACAGAGTGAGTTGAAGAAGGAGAAGCCATTCCTGTTAATGGGGTCAGCAAGTCCGAAACACACATGCCTCAAACTGGTAATTTCTAATAAGGAACAAATATTTGTGAAAGGCACATGGTTCTCTTCTCACTTTGACCTCTTCATCACTGATGGCCTTCAATCTTGGACTTGCCATGGTATTTTTCTATTCCTAATTGTTTTGCTGACCTTAGTTTAATTAGGGTTCTTCATTTTTTGCTGTGTAATTTTTGGGGTTTTTTTGCAGCGTCGGAGGAAGAGGTTGAAGAGAGAGCATCTCAATGGGATCAACCCGTTTCGGAGTATATTGATTTGGCTGAAAAGTATTTAGGATTTCAACAGCCTGGTTCTGCTTATGGGTTTGATGATGCTGGTACTGGGCATAAAAGGGTCAGCTTTTCTTGATTTTATTTAAACCTAGTTTATTGCACATTTTCAATTATTTGATTATTTCCTAAAGTGATAATCTTTTGAGTAATTTGTTAAAAGAACAGAAGGCACCCTAAAGATGAGATTTTAGCTTAATCATGTGACGTTCAGTGGCCTTTGACTTGTTGATGAAACCCCATATTGTAAGAGATATTTATCATTTCAATGTTAATTTGAGCATGTAATAGGAACAATTGGTTCACATTTGTTGTTTTTGATTCATGAGTTGCTCGAGTTGATTTGAGATTTTGCATTAGCCTTATTAGATAAGTTGATTCCTAGAGCTGTTCAGTTTGCTCTCATTAAGCACCGATCAGAAGACCTTCATACTACTCGAGCGACAATTAGGATGACAATGGGGTGGGGTGGGACGGATTTGAGCCAACGGAGAGCATGGTGGGGCGTGGAACACGCTAGCAGGATGGTGCAACGAACAGGATTTGGGGGGGGGGGTGCGGGTTGAAACAGTCATTTTTTTAAATTCTTAGCAGGGCAGTTGTGAGGTGCACATTTCATATATCTATTCCAATTGACTCTAAATCTACATAGACGAGTTGAGTTTTCCTATTCTGGAAGATCTAGTCAATCAGAGTTGAAATTCAAACCCAGTACATTTGTGTTCATAACGAAGCTAAAGAGTTGGACGATTTTTTTAACTAAATTGTCAAACTGCCAAACGGCCACACAGCACTGTTGCCATCTCTAAGCGCAATAGCGCAAAAGGGTGTGTGTTATCAGCTTGGAGCCTTGACCAAAAATATGATTTTAGCCATGTGCACTAACTACTTAGATTGTTATTCTTGCTTTTTAAAGTCTATTGTGGTGCTCTACAGCTTTTTAGTCAACTCTAGCACATCTTTGCTTTTAATTGCTTAATGAATGTCCTAAAGAGCAAAAAAATTAGTTAAGGTGGAGTCAATGTAATCAATATATCTTTATGGTATTATTGCAAGTTTGAAAAGCTATGATGTGCTTTCCATGTAGCCCATTGTTTTCCTTTGATCTTTGTAGCTCTCATGGACATTTGAGAAAGAAGGCACAAAGCTGGAATGGCGGTGGAAATGCCAACCGTCTTCTAATAGCAAAAAAACTACAGCTGATATCTTGGACTTCCTCATGGATGCAAATATTAGACTGAGTGTAATGATCTTGATAGCTGTGCTGTGTCTTATTTAAAGTTGCAATTTACTCCATGCACATTTTCAGTTTACTTGAATTTTATCAATCTGCCGTCTTAAAATCTACTCTCTGATAATCAGATGAACTTAAGTGATCAGGAGCTTTTATGCATAATATGCATTACAGCCAGTATTAATGTTTTTGCCATGAATTTTAGGATATCTGTTCTTAGAAATGTTGGTGGAGGATGTAGTAGTTCAGTATCCGTGCCTACAGTTCCCTTTCATACCCTCTATGGATTTAGGTGGTCTGGCAATAGTTGGTTGCACTGTTGCTGGCTTGCTGCAGTGATTGGTTTCCTAAGATCTGCCTCTCATTTGAGCTTGGTGCCCATTTTTATCTTGGAGCATGAAAGTGGAATCATCTTGGTCTGCAGCTTCTAGATGATAGTCACCAACAATGAATATACTTGGAATTTTGTTTAGTGTCATTCTTAGTGGACACTATGTTGCCATGCTTTTCCTTAATATGCCTAGACTTTGTAAAAAAATTGTGAATCTGTCCCATATGAGCCTTCTTTCCGGAGAGCTCTAAGTCCATCCCATTATGAATATTTGTATATTAAGAGAACAATTTGAAAGCATTTTTTGTTGTAGGTGGTGTTAGCCTACCTCTCACCAGTGCAAGGAAAATATAGTATACACAGAGTGAATATGCGAGTTACTACAATTGCTTCCTGCATTTATATGTATCATATTTAACATGGTGAACTGAATGTCTTCTTTCCTTTCATTTTGATTTACTGATATCTCAGCTCTAGAAAATGTTGTTACTTCTTCTTCCTTCTATCTAAACAGCAATCTATATGATTTCTGTTATCTCTGCTTTAGAAAATCTTGCCACTTAAGTTGCCTTCCAACTAAACAACAATCTATGTGGTTCTGTTGTGTGGTATGCTTTTACAGTTTTTTTAATTTGATTGAAATGGAATGAGGTTGTATACAATTCACTTTGAGATACTGTTTTGAAAAATATTAATTATCTGTTTGTTTCATCTGAAGAGATAGGTACATGGTAAAATTCACATGAGTTTATTTGATTCAAATTCTCACGAGTTTATTTGATACAAATAGGATGAAGTTGTCAGTAAAACTGAGTCATTTGAGAGGATGAAGGTGGAGGCAGAAAAATGTTTAACACAAAGCGAGAAACTCAGCAGAGAGAAAGAAGAATTCGAATCTGCAATATATGCAAAGGTGCTGTTTTCAGACCAAGCACTAAGCTCTGTTTATTATTTTCACGGGTTTGTTCAGATTTATTATGATTTTGCACTTTCTTTTAACGTTGTATATGTATCCCTAGATCTTTCTACTACCCTTTGTTCTGGAATGATTTATTTAGGCTTAGGAGCTGAACACCCCAAAGGTTCTTCCATGATTGATCATGACCTGTGTTCCTTTTACTTCCAGTTTCTTGGAGTTCTGAACTCAAAGAAGAAAAAACTCAGAGAACTTCGGGATAAGCTCTCGAAACAAGGAACTGCTGTTGAAGAGCCAGTAGAAGAGGACGCACAATCTACAGACAGAACTAAGACCTTTGATGAGGGAAGTGATGAGGAAATGAGTGGGGAAGAAGTGGAGAAGGAAGATGTTGGCACTTCATCAAAAAAGGATGATGTTGGCACTTCAAAAGATGTTCCAGCGGGAAGGGGTCGTGGTCGTGGTCGAAAGAGAAAGTAAATATCTAAGGATCACCATTATAGCATCTTTAATCATCCTTGTTTTTTTGCTTCTTTATCTAACTGCTTCTAATTATACTTTCCTTCTAATGGAGAATGACTGAATGAGGATATGTATATACACTGTTTGAACTAGTGAATACTTCAATCATTTGGCTTTTGTGTTGTATTATCTCAACTCCTCCCTATCTTCCAAGGTATTTGTACTAAATTCTGTGTATAGTTGGAAGTCCAGAGCAATTTTTCTGGAATTAAGTTGCATGTTTGGAAATTGTAATGTCATTCTCACTTTTGAAGGTAAGAAAATCATGACAAATTCTAACAAGAGGTTCATCTGAACTTCGAAAAGGTTATACTGTTTATAAAAGATATTGTATCTGTCTTCTTTGCGTGTTTACTTTTGTTATTTTTTTGAATCTTCTTAAGAAGAAATTTTGTCCCTATCACCGACCTAACTTTAGTTTTATTAGAATGTCTTTACATTACCATTAGTAGGCTTTTCAAGTCTAGGTGATTAGTATGTGACATTAGATGGTGGTTATTTTGGTGCCTCAGATTCTTGTAATATCTTGCAGTTAGATATGAATAGCTACTAAGACTCCCTCCATTCATATTATATGGTATATTTAGCTTGAGAATACAGATTGGAGTATCATGAAGCAACAATATTATCATTTACGACATTTGTTTGACTCCAATTTTAAAAAAATAAGAACCAATTATATTTTTATTTTTTCTGAATATAATTGGAGTGTAACTTGCACACTAATTACACCTTGTTTGGATGGTTGTTATCCGTTGTATTGTATTATATTGTATTGTTAGTCTAAATACAATTTTTGTTTTGATTGTTACTTAAATTTTATTATATCGTATTGTTTAAATTCATCGTTAGATAACGACGAAAAGACTCATTTTGTGTAATGACCCATTTGGTGTGATCGCGTCGTTGCCTTAATATTTTCTTCTCATTTTATCCTCACTTATTATTTAATAATTCTATTTATCATTTACCCTACCTTTTCATAGAAGATCTACCACACCCTACAATTTTCTGTAGATTTATCATTCAAATTATTGATATGTGACATTATGTAACAACAGAGAATGACACGATCTATCCAAACATTATATTCATTAAAACAATACCGTACGATACAATACAACACATTACAATACAATACATAACAACCATCCAAACAAAGTGTAACATAATATGCTAATGTAATTCCTTTCGACAAAGTTTTGTATTTCACATCGACCAAACTTTATTTTGATGATCAAATTTATTTCTTCACTCATCTTCTTGTAAAATTTATTATTGATGTCCTGATTTTTTCACTGATACAAAAATAAAGAACAATATAACCGCAAAAAATGGTCTTAAATTGTTTCTTACATTTTTTTTCTATTCCCATTTACACTTCTTTTTATTTCTCATATTTTCACACTAAAAATGAAACAATAACAAGAAACTCAATAATGATAAACCTAACTCAAATTAGTTATTCAATCAAAGAAGTGAAAAAATTCACCTGTGAGAAGATCAAATATATTCGTAACTTTACTAGAAGGATCAAATATACCTTTGACTTAACTAGAAAGATCTAATGTACCCTTGCATGAATATTATTTAATTAATTTTTTTTGTTGTTTTCACTTTTACTAGACGAAAATGGTATATTTAGGCTATTTGTGTAACAATAAGGTTAATCCGAGTCATTTATGTAACAATAAAGTAAGTATATATGTGAGTCACTTTAGTAAGACGTGATATATAAATTCTATACCGCAAAATTAAAAGGTATATCAAACCTTTTTTTTTCCGATATTATCTTTCCACATTCTTCAAACAACTTCTTTCGCAAGGACTATGCATTTCGACATGAGGAGAACGTTTAATAAGGAAAAATATAGATAATTAGTTGTACAATAAATAGATAGAGTGGTAAATTTTAAATTTTTAACAGAACTCAATTATTATTTTTTGTTCAAAACCGACTTCTTTTGGGATTTTAGTTTTTTGTAATAAAAAATCTAAACTAGACAAATCTTATGGCTTCCAAAAAAGTGTTTGCAATATGTATGACCAACATATGAGGATCCAAGAAACCTTATTTTATTCAAAACAAAATATAGCCGTTACACAAAAGATCCTCCAACGGCTATCTTTCTCCTTAATCTCACCCCATGCCTCAATCTTCCTCTTTATAGCCTATTGATTGTCCATTAACATTTTCAATCACTGCAAAATTCTCTCTGTTTTGTCCAAATTCCCTTCCTTTACTTCATTTTTTCTGCATATTTCTCTCAAAAAAAGAAACAATTCAAGATGAATGATTTGATGACAAAATCTTTCACAAGCTACATTGATCTGAAGAAAGCCGCCATGAAAGATGTTGAAGCTAGTCCAGATTTGGAAATGGGTATGACCCAATTGGATCAAAATCTCACTGCTTTCTTAGAAGAAGCAGAAAAGGTGAAATTGGAGATGAATTCAATCAAGGAGATTCTTCGTCGGTTACAGGACACTAATGAAGAAAGCAAGTCGCTACACAAACCTGAAGCTTTGAAATCGATGCGTGATAGCATAAATTCAGATATTGTAGCTGTGTTGAAGAAGGCTAGAGCTATTAGATCTCAGCTGGAAGAGATGGACCGATCCAATGCGATTAACAGGCGGCTTTCTGGGTGTAAAGAAGGGACATTGGTCGATAGGACTCGATCTGCTGTAACTAATGGGCTTAGGAAGAAGCTTAAGGAACTTATGATGGAGTTTCAGGGACTGAGGCAGAGGATGATGACTGAGTATAAGGAGACTGTTGGAAGAAGATATTTTACTGTTACTGGTGAACACCCAGATGAAGAAGTTATTGACAAGATCATTTCTAGTGGAAATGGTCAAGGTGGTGAAGAATTTCTTTCTAGAGCAATTCAGGTATGCATAAACAAATTTTTTCACCCCCAATTTGTCTCTGTTTTTTCCCCAATTTTTCTAACTGCAGAAGAACAATGCTCTGATTTTTTGTTGAACTGTTTCTTGGTAGCTTGGTTTTTAAGTGTTATATTTCAAGATTTAAGGGATTAACAACTTAGTTTGTGGATTGTTGTTAGTCCAAATCTATAGTGAGTATTTATATAGCTGACACCAAATTATAGAATTGTGGAGTTCCAAATCGATAGTGAGAATTCATGTAGCCCACACTAGATTATTGAATTTTGGAGTATAACTAGTCCAAATTTCTACCTTGTACTTGGATTTGTTGTACTTGAGCCGAAGGTCGTGTTTTGGAAACAACACTTGGTCTGTCTACACTCTATCTCACCCCACACCCCACTCGTTGGATTTCACCGGGTACAAATCCAATAATGAGAATTCATATAGCTGACACCAAATCAATAGTTAGAATTTATATGGCAACTCCTAATTATAGAGTTTTTTGGAGCTTAATTGTTGGAACTTTTGAACTGTTACTAGTTCAAATTCCATGTTTAAAAATAAAAGCCATGATTTGGCTGACAAACATTGATTGGTGCAGGAGCATGGGAGGGGGAAGGTGTTGGAAACAGTGGTGGAGATACAGGACCGTCATGACGCAGCAAAGGAGATAGAAAGGAGCTTGCTTGAGCTGCACCAGATATTCTTGGACATGGCAGTGATGGTTGAGGCACAAGGAGAGAAAATGGATGATATTGAACACCATGTGGTGAATGCAGCCCATTATGTTAATGATGGAGCCAAGAACCTCAAGACTGCAAAGAAGTATCAAAAGAGCAGCAGGAAATGTATGTTCATTGGAGTTATAGTTCTCCTAATTCTGATCCTGGTAGTCATCATCCCCATTGCCACCAGTTTCACCAAATCTTGAATAGCCAGCCCCATTGGGGCTTGGTTTCATTCTTTATATTCTTTTTAGCAGTTACTTTGATCACTCTCGTGAGAAATTCATGTATGTTTGTTATTCTATTTGTCACTAGTTAGTCCTTTTGATAGGGCTATGAACCTTAATGGATTTGTTGTTACAAAATTTGAGACGTGATGTTTACTGGCATAATATATAGAATTAATGTTCAAAAGGCTGATTTTACCATTATGTCAACTACAACAAATATGATAAACTCATAGACAAGTAATGAAGATAAATGGTGGGAGCTGTGACCCCCTGGAGGATATAAGATGCAGGAAATGAGGTTGTAATGGTTTGGCCATATGAAGAGAGGAGGTGCAAAGGTTGACTGTAATGAGCTTAAAGAGGGGTAGAGGTAAACTAAGAAGTATCGTGGAGAGATGATTAGACAGGACATGATATAACTTCAGCTCACCGAGGACATGACCCTTGATAGGAGGGTGTGGAGGTCGAGAATTAGGATAGAATGTTAAATAGGTAGTCAGGTGTATTGCTTTCCCATTCCCGGAGTATTAGATCTTAAGCTCAAAGAAAGATGTAAAAGAAGACAATGGCAACAAGTAGAAACAACAACAAGATAATATAATAATCGAGCTAAAGACTCAACATAGATGTAAGGCTCTATGTACCTCCTACTCGTGAGATTACACTGGTTTGTTGTTATTGTTAACAGGGGCGAACCTAGAGTCTGCCTAGGGGGTTCACCCGAACCCCCTAAGCAAAAAATTACGTTGTATATTTAAGGTATTTTAAAGAATTTTTATGTTTATTTATTGATTTTGAACCTCCTGAATATAAGATTAGAGGTTGGTTTAGTGGTTGAGGGGTTCAAACCTCAAATCTTAAGCACTGCTCTTTTTTTTCGAACCCCCTTAATGAAAATCCTGAATCCGCCACTGATTGTTAAGTGAGAAAAATACAACTTGGTGACCAAGATAAAAAAAACCGTTCTTTCTCCCAAATTTAAACATTAACGTTCGTACTCACATATCTAGACAATAATAATCTTGACCTCAATAAACAAGCTATTAGATAGATGTTAATTCATATCATAATCAATCGCAACAAATTATTTTTTAATTTTCAAGTGTCTTATTTTCTCAAAACTTTATTTTAAGAAAAGGGATTGCATTTTTCTACTATTAATTAATTGATACTGCCAGTTTACACATCAAAGTATTCCCAATGAAAAGTCGTAGCCATAACAAAAAATGAGGAATAAAAAATGAAAAAAAAAAGGAAGTAATTTTGGGCACGTAAAAAA